AAAAAAAAAAAAAAAAGAATGATACAAATGTATGTATTTGGTATAGAAAGACTTCAAATGTATGTATAACCAAAAACTTCAGCTGTAGGACAAACAATATTTGGTATTCTCACTGGGTATGGTAGCACACATCTGTAATCCTTGTGTTCGGGAGGCTGAGGCAGGAAGATTGCCGCAAGTTCAAAACCAGCCTGGATCACATAGTGAGTTCAAGACCAATCTGAACTCACTGAAAATTTTTTTTGGTGTCCTCAAAGGGAGAAAACATGCTTTTGTGTACATATTAAGTTTTAGAAGGAAACACAAATTTAGAAGTAGAACAAATGATGAGGATGTAGCATTCTGTTTTCTACTTTATAACTCTGTAACCTGATTAACAATTTACTTTTTTTAAGCCTCAGTTTCTTCATCTGTAAAGCAGAATAATAATATTTACCAGATGAAGTTATGTTAAAAAATAGATAGCGATACTGGACATGGTAGCTGATGCCTATAATCCTCACATTCAGGAGCCTGAGGCAGGAGGATTGCCATGAGTTCGAAGCCAGGCAGGGCTACATAGTGAGTTGGTCAGCCTGGAATACATAGTGAGACCCTGTCTCGAAAACATCTCCTCCATAAATGTATTGAAAAAATAGACAAGGGCTGGGGATACTGCTCAGTGGTAGAGCACTTGCCTACCATGCCCAGGGCTATAGGTTTAATCTCTAGCACTGCTGGGGAAGAGTGAGATGCAGATGAATGGGAGTTTATCCTCGGAAGTTTTTTCAACCTCATATTGACACTGTGGTCCAGATTGATCTTTGTTGTGAGGGGCTGTCTTGTGCATGAGTAGTGATCAGTAGCGCCTTTGCAGGTGTGACAACCAAAAATGTCTTTAGACAATGCTAAATGTACCCTGTTAAGAGCTATTGCCTAGTATTTGGAACATGCTAAGCTCTCAGTAAATAGTATTATTATTACTGTCTTGAATTTTTTACCATGAGCTTTTTTTTTTTTTTTT